TTTTTTTCTTGCTAATTTTCTTGCTAATATTTTCTCCTCTTGGTAATATTAAATAAATAAAAGAATTTTATTTAGAATAATTTTTTTTGCATAATCGCTATTAAATATGTATATAAAAATTCTAACCGTTTAGATGATTCAAATGAACTTCATGAAGGTTTTTACTAATGTTTTTCATATTCGTGGCGAGATTATTTCATTTTACGTTGATCAGTTGCTTTAAAACATATAAGAATTCGATAACGTTGAGCATAATTTAATTGTTCAACTGTTGTTAGAGTTACATTCAATAAGTAAAGGACATCATAAGGCATATGTTGACAAACATCAAGTAAAACAAGATCACATTCATCCTTTAAAACAATTTTTATTAAAAAAAAAGGGAAAAGAAAATATTTCAACTTGAAAATCAAGTCTATCTATATTTTGATGTGTTGCTCAAAATTTTATGTTAGGATTTTGTCCACGACTTAATGTTATTATAAATGTACGTTGTATATCAATAACATGATTATATTCTAAAAGAAGATCTATTTAAATAATTTAAAGAAAAGAATAATATTTTACTCATTTGAGTATCAAATGAAATTGTTAATTCATCAAAATAAGTTGCTAATGGTGCAAGTGTACCAGATGCAAAAATTAAACTTTAAATAATCAAAGAATTAGATTTATTTATTTTAATCTCATAAAACTCACAATCGAACTAATTTTAAGTCTTTAGCAAATGTAACACTTGGTGATAATCAATAGAATATTAATTGTTGTCTATGAAGAGGATAAGTTGTTTTAACTAAACATCAGCAAGAAATTTTAATGTATTAGGAATTTCTTGATCATCAGAATTTAATTGTGATATGTGCTCTTATTTATTTCCATGTTGATCAATATTTAAATGTTCAAGCAAATCATTTTCTTCATTTAACCGATCATATTCAGAACAACCAGTTTGTACGGCGTGCTGATTGTTGTTGTGTTGAAGATAATGAGTCTTGTATTAATGAAAAATCTGATCCATTTGTAAGTAATTGATCAACTTTTATTTGTGCCATTTCAAGTGCTTTTTGATTTGCACGTATTTCTTCTAAAGTTAATTCAAAATCTTTTTTTTTTCATTTCAAATTTCATTGATTCACGTACATAATGTTCAATATAATGTGCTAAAAAAAGACAAGATTAATCTTAAATTAATTCAAATCAATTGATTTGTTTTTTACCTTCATCAATAATAATAATTGATTTATTAATTGATATTTGCATTGAATTTCGTACACGTGGATCAATAAAATAATGATATGAATAAAGTATAATTTGTACATCATTTATTAATACACGACTTGTATAACATGAACAAACAGCATATGTTGTTGGACAATATTCAGTAAATTGTTCAATATCAAAGACACATGATAATTGTTTTAAACTTGATGATCGAAGAAAACCATTTGCCGTTTTACTTCTGAAACATTCATAGGAATCACATTCACTTTTAGAATCTTGTTGTCCAAATTTTTGTTGAGCTGGTCGTGTTATTTTAAGACCTTTATGATTTTTATTTTCAAGTGCAAAGATTAACTGTTCTTCATGGGTTGTGTGATAGAAGATAACAATTAGAGAAATGCAAAAGCGAATAATTTATAGTGAAAATAAAAGTGAGACTCTCATCATTAATAGTTGTTACACCCGATAGTTTGACTTTCTTATTGGCAGGTGTTAATGGATGATGAATCGATGATGTTAATGGACACTTCTCACCAATGGTATTAGTCGAAGAAAGAATATCTGTGGTAATGGAAGATGACGATGAAGAATAAGAAGAAAACGATAAAAAATGTATAAGAAGTAGAGGTAGAGATAGAACGGGAGATGCAAATGCATGATGAATACTATTCGTAGTAGCAGTTGCTTGTGATCGTAATGTCATTCCATATCTTTTTGGTGATATCGTTGTCGTTGTCAATGTGTATTGATCGATTAATTGTGAAAGTCTTTCTTCACTAAAGTCAAATGAAGACGAAGATAAAATATCATTTGTTGGTGGACATGGAGTATGACGACAACGACAAACACCATTGCCCCATAGACGACGAGTATGTGGTAATATGATGAAGAAATGTTATTAGTAGATACAACAGCAGTAGTTGATATTGTTGTCGAACTTGATGTGAATAAGCATGAATCAGTTGATTTTTTATTATAACGACGCCGTGTTAGAACTCCATTAGTGACAGAAGATAATTGAAATTGATCGGCTTTTTGAAATGCACGCATTGTTACATTAACAGCACGAACCTTAAAAGAAAAATTAAATATTATTTATTTAAAAGCCTTTTTTTCTGAATTTTATACAATGAGAGATTGAGATGCTTAACAAAATATACTTGGTGTCATTAAATTATCATGTGTTGTTGGAATATTTGAATCTCGAAGCCAAACATTTCTCGATCAATCTTTAATTGTTAAACTTTTTGATAAATCAACTGTTAACAAACATAATCAACAAAAAAAACGAAATCATTAGATAAATATATTTTAAATAAGACTATGATCGTTAATTGATTAATAACAATGGCGAACCTTTAACAAGATCTTCAGTTGCATGAGACACATTTTTCCATGTTGGTGTGTCATATGATAATTAAAAGCATGTTATGTCTTCAACAATATCTTCTGCTATTCGATGAGATGTTATTGAATTGAATGGAGCTTCGCTACTTAACATTGTGTATAAAATAACATCCAGTGACTATAAATCATATGGTTCATCATAGCCATATGTAACTGTATTTGTACTTTTTGTCATTGATGGTGCAAAAACTACAGTCGTACTTATTGTTGTTGGTGATGATGATGATGGTGAGACTGATGATGTAGAAAGAGAAGATTTGAGAATGATTAAATGATGTTGCAGTACGAAGTGCTTCTGGTGCTGTATATCTGTATAAAAACAGTTTTAAAATATCATTCAAAAACGTTTTTTTTTATTCTCTTACAAGAGTGTACCGCAGAGTATTGTTATCGTTTGATGTTTAGTACGTTTTGTTTAGCAAAATCAAAATCAATTATTTTTATTTCAGCATTGGAATCAGATGATGCGAAAAGTAAATTCTATAAAACATAAATATCTATTTAAGAAAAAAAAACAATTTAAACAAAGATTTTCATACTTCTGGTTTAAAATCTCGATGACATAAATCATTATTATGCATAAAATTGACAGTTAATATAAGTTTTTTCATTAATTGACCTGCTTCTTTTTCAGAAAATGATGTTTGCGTACGAATTCGATAGAAAAGTTCTCCATCCGTTAATAACTTCATTATTCTATATGTATGAAGCTTAATTAAAAGAAAAGACAAAAAAATAGTGCACAATTAGATAAAAGTTATTTTCCAGACAGCTAGTTACAATATCTTTCTGTATCATTACTTAGAAATCAACATATATATGAACCAAAGATGTATGCTCTCTTTGACAAATAAAAAACAAAATCTATTATATTACAATACATAAATTGATTTATTTTATACAGATATAATCAATGAGACAATGTCTCAAATTGTGTCCTATTATGTGTATGTAACTACTTAGAGCAACAATCCAATTATACACTATACTAAAACTTCTCTATAGTGGACACTTTTTAGAATTTTCGACCGATGTTCACTATAGGAAAGTTAAGTCTTTTTAAAAAGTAAAACTTTTCCTAAGAAATACAAACGTTTTTTTGACATCTAGAAAGTATTAGCAAATAAAATAATCGGCTAAGATAACTTGTTACTTCTTTTTTTTATGTATTTTCATCGTTAGAAATTAGTAATTTTTAAATTAATTGCTGACAAACTCCTGTTACATAACGTTCAAATTCAGATAGATGTCAGCTGATTGCAATATGATTTGGGAGATAATGAAGTGCAGCTTAAACTATTGAATGAACACAAAAGAATCAAGCTTTCTAATCATTTCAATTACTTCAGACAAAATTGACGTATTTTTCACCACAAATATATCTTCTTTTTTTTTTCTCTATCCACTTCAACCGATTCCTTTAGATGTTCATTAGTACCATACTTGTTGAAAACAGGAACGAACAGGAAAAAAAACGATATCGATGATACTAGCAATAGTTCATTGTTAGATATCAAATTAAACTATTCTCTTCAAACTTCTAAGTAGTGTCCACCATAGAAAGATTAGATTCGAGTAAGAGACAATGAACTCCTGTTTCCAAGAAAACCAAATGAAATGATTATGGAAAACATGGCATAGAAATTCAATGCGATGCTTTGAAACATAAGCGAAAGAAATTAATTTTAATGTACAAAGGATATAGAAATATTGTGTATAGTTTTGGATTGCGGTAGATTTGTTTAGATGAGAAAATTGATTTCCATCTTATAGATGCTTTCCTAGCAAAAATAAATTTCTTGATGCACCTCAATTCAAGTTTAAAAGAGACACATCAATTTTATATCCTTTTCATAATAAAATATGCTTCTTGATCCGACTCGATAATAAACTAAGGTCTGGAATCCTTCAATTGAATTTGTAAAAATGAATTTTAGCTACACATCATCGATATTTTATTTAGATGCCTGCTGTGCTATTGCTCAGCTAGATTCAACCATCATATAGGGTGTTTCCATGGGATGTCGCCGGATCGACTGGCGACATCCCATGGAAACACCCATAAGTTTAGAGCAGTTGTATTTTTAAGTTTTCTTCTCAATGGTAATATATAGCAAGAATCTGAAAACAATTGTGTTACTGTATTGATTCTCTATTATGATTGGTAGACCCAAAGACTTCAACAAAACTGTGTACGAGGAAAGATCCTCAAATGTGACACATCGTTTTGAGTCGGATGCATACCAGTTTGTAGACTACGATGAGACAAGAAAAAGTTTGGAAGAGTTCGTCCCCATAAATTGTACTTCTTGAATTGTGACCGTTCTATTCGATTTTCGAAATTCGATAAGGAACATTTGAGGAAATCGAATTAAAGTATTTTTATCTATAACTTCACACATTGGTAGTTCTTGTAGTCATTATAATTTTCTCAAACTTGTAGTTTCAAGGAACGTTTTCTATTGAAGACATTGCTTTTTCTGCATCTACTCTTGATATAATCATTTTTTAGACGTTCAATATCTCAAGAAAGAAACATTCTTTTGAACCAAAAGTATGAAGACGTTTACTACCTATGGACAAAGTTCCAGGTGAAAATTCTGTAATTCGACTTGCTCATATCTACCTTTCTAGAAGCCGAAAATTCAATAAAATGGTCATAATTCAAGGTGCACAAGGTATGGAGACGAGCTCTTCTAAACTTTTTCTAGTCTCATCATAGTCTACAAACTAGAATCCATTCGATTCAAAAGGACACGTCACACTTAGGAGTCCCCACTTGTTGGATGAGGGTCTGTGGAGAACCAAGACTTCCAAGGCCAGCTGTCTAGCTTCCATTCGAAGCTTTTGGGAAAAAATTTTATTTGATAGAGCTAATAATTCTGAGCAAAATGATATATCTCTGATCTTCCTTCATCGAACTGCATTCAATTTACAGAAGATCCAATAACCATTTTCCTTTTTTTTTTTTGAAAATTTCAATACTTTTGCCATATTTAATGCTTTGATGTACTCTATAAATTGAATGCAGTTCGATAAAGGAAGGTGATGAAGAGGTCGAAGATGTCTCATCTTGTGTTTTATCAAATAAAATCTTTTCTCAAAAAACCTTCGAAAGAAAGCCAGAAAGTTGGTTTTCTGCAGACCTTCTTATCCATGTAGTTTATCAACCACTTCTGATGAAGAATTCTTTCAGCTATACAAAATGTAAAATAAATCACAAAAACAATACCAAAATATTGTATGGATCACCTAACACAGAAAGAAAATGCAAATAAGAAATGCCTTCTCTCTCTTCTTTGTTTAGATCGTGTTTTTTTTCCTTTTTTCAAGATATTACTCCATTACTTTCACACACATACGTCAAGAAAAAAAAAATAATCAAAGAATGATAAATTGAAGAAAAAGATACTGATGTTAATGAGTCAATTAATGTGTTGCACAATTGACTTGTGTTGCTCCACCATGAGGGTGTCCCATACCATCATCATCATACATTTCATGTCTATGCGAACGTTGAGATTGACGTGGATCATATTCAACCAAAACGCATTCTTCAGAATTCATTGGTATGTGAACTGATGTACGTGGTGGTAAAACTTTTTCTAATTTAGCTATACTTTCTGGACGTAATTCATTTTTATCCGGAAATTTCACATCAAAATGAAGTACAAGACGACCTTTTTCTAATGGATTTCGATAAACAGGCATTCCTTCATTTAAAACACATTTTATATCGCCTGGCTTTATAATTTCACCTAAAATTTAATAAAACAGAAAAAAAAGAAAACGAATTATTGTTTGATTTATAAATTTTTTTTTTTTCATTTACCTGGTAATGTAGTAATAACTAATTGTCGATTATCAAGTGTTTTAATAACTTTATGAAAACCACATAAAGATTCAGTTAATGTTATTTGCATTTTCATATGTAAATCAGTTTTATCTCGTTTAAATGTCGCATGTTCTTTTTCGTCCAAAACAACAATAATATCACCTGGTTGAAGACCTGGTTCTTGATCACCTTCACCACTAAAAGTTATTTTCTTTCCATCTTCCATACCTTTATAACAAGAAAAAAAAAACAAAATTATTTTTATTGAAAAACAAATAATCATTGTTTTTGTTCCTTACCTTTGTCGATATGCACTTCAATAATTTTTCTTTCACGAACAATTTTTTTTCCATCGCATGTTTTGCATTTATCTTTAGCATTAATCTTTTCTCCTTGACCTTCACAATCTGAACAATGTGATCGAATTTGTTGTATCATACCCGGTGCTATTTGATTAACACGAACAACAAAACCACTACCATTACATGTTGTACATTTTGATACAGCACCTTTTTTTCCACCACGACCTAAACACAAATAAAATATTTAAAACAAAAGAAAAATATAAATTTGCTTTTGTTTTTTTCTTTTTACCTTCACATTTATCACATACAACATTTTTTTGTAATGCTAATTTTCTTACAGCTCCATTATAAAGTTCTTCTAATGAAACTGCTAATTGATGAACAAGATTTTTTCCACGATGTTCTTGTCGAGAACCAAATGGACTTCCACCACCACCAAAAAACATATTAAAAATATCAAATGGATCTGAACCATGAAATCCACCGGTACCAGCACCTTCTTTCAAACCTTGTTCACCAACTTGATCATATAATGAACGTTTTTTTTCATCAGATAAAACTTCATCTAGACAAATTAAAAAAAAAAAACAATTCTTGTTATTTGTTGATTTTTTCTTAAATAAAAACTTACATGCTTGTGATAATTGTTTAAATTGTTCTGGATCATTATCTGGATTTTTATCTGGATGTAATTTCAAAGCTAATTTACGATAAGCTTTTTTAATTTCATCAACTGTTGCATTTGGTTGTACACCAAGAATATCATAATATTTCGTATCTTTAACCATTGTGATTAAATTCGAACGAATGAGAGAGATGAATTAATAAAAAAAAACAACGATCAAATGATCTACAAAGAAAACAGCAAGCACTTTTATATATACGAGAAAAAGAAAACAGAAAGGAAGAAATCGAAGATGTAATACATGACTCAGACCAATAGTTTTGCAAGATTTTAGAGAACAACAAGAGAACGAAATGGCTACGCGGAATGAAATTTTAAATATTTGTCAAGACATAAAAAGAGACCAAAATAGACATCTGAAAACACACAGAATTGCAAAAGAAAAAAATAATATTGTTTACTTGAGCGTTTATAAATGAAAAACAAAAAAAAAAAAAAATAGTTTTTTTAATATTAATACTCTCTCTTTTTCTTTTCAAGAATTTGAAAGAAGACCATCGAATCCATTTAATGTTCGTGTAATTAATCGAAAATGTTGTTTTAATCTTGACCAATATAATTTTGATGCATCACCTAATTCTGTTTGTGGATTATTAGCAATACCAAATAAAAGATTTGATAATGATGGATATGGTACAACGGTATTTGTAAGACCAAAAGCTGGACCAATGAAAACATGTCTAAACAAAAAACAAAAAATTTTTTTTTTTTCGTATAGAGTTTAAAATTAAATAAGATGATTATTACTTATATGTTTCATCTGCTGTATTCATTCGACGTAATTGATCATCGATGATAAATAAACGTTCGAATTCAATAAGTTTTTCATTTAATACTTGCAGACTAACATAACTAATCAATAGAAAA